AGGCGAACGGGAGCTTGAATTCAGCCGATCTGGGTTCAGTGTGTGTTCTGAGAGGCCCAGACTGCTCGTCCCAGATCCACTTCAGCTCAGCATTGCCTAGTGATCCTGAGCAAACAGATTTAGGCTGTTTACGACTCCCTATGCCTGCACAGCTGAAGAGGTCAGAGACTTGATCTCTCCGTGTCACCGCCATGTTGGAATTGTCCTTGTATACAGATTTCACATAATTAAGCACCAGATGTGTATTTTTTTTAAAGAGTGAGAGAGAGGGGGGGACAGAGAGAGAGAGAGAGAATTTTAACATTTATTTATTTTTTTCTTAGTTCTTGGTGGACACAACATCTTGGTTTGTATGTGGTGCTGAGGATCGAACCCGGGCCGCACACATGTTAAGCCAGCGTGCTACCACTTGAGCCACATCCCCAGCCCTGTGTATTGTTTTTTAACAAAGGCAGTATCACATATGAAGTGAGCAGTAATCACATGATTTAAAAAAAATTTAAAATTTTTAAACTGAATAGAAGGTAACATGTTCCACAAGAAATGTGAATTTTCATCAAGCCTTTGTCATTAACCCATTTAGATATCTGACTCAAGGCCTGACTATTAACAGAAATTCATGAGCTCAAAACCAGAGGCCAGAAAAAAGGCTACCCTCTGCTCAGATTATCTCTTTCAAACACTGAGGCTTATTTATCATACTCTAATTCTATAATTCTGAATAGAATTATAGACCCCCTGACCCCCTGAGAATTCCATTCTGTTATTCCTGCTGAAAAGGCACTATTTCCTATTCATGCTTTCCATATCAACAGTATTCTAGATAGCCTGTAAGATCCACATAATTGGGGGTCTCCCTGTACATCATGAAAACATCATCCCTGAAACATAGCAATAGGAAGATTTCTTTTTAAGTATTAGAAGAAAAAACTTAGAGAAAGTACTTAATTTGTTGACTCCAATGGAAAGGAGTGGCATCTCTCCATCTTTTCCACGTTGATCTGGAAAAACAGAAGGTGACTTCATTTTGACAATCCTTACTTATTATTTCTCACTCCACAACATGCATGAGAATCACTGTTATGGTCGTGGTATTCCTCAGAAGCTCATGTGTGAGGCCATGTAGGAAAGTTCAGAAATAAAGTGATTGAATTGTGAAAGCTTTAATCTACTCTACACTATTTCCTCAGTAAGAATTAACTGGGGGCAACTATAAGCAGGTAGGGTGTTGGTGGAAGAGGTGGGTCACTGGGGGCCTGGCTTCAGAGCATACATTTTTTCCCTGGTTAGTGGAGTTTCTGTCTGCTTCCTGATGCCACGTCCTTGTAAGGTTCCAGTGAAGCATTGGAGAAAGAGACCACCAAGAGACCACTCATGCAATTGGCAGAAGGGAATTTATTGAACCAGCATGCTGGGGCTCTGTGCCCACTCAAGAATGGAGAGCAGCCCAGAGCCCAGAGGAGTGGTTAAGCAATGCTTAAGTTCACTTTTTTGGGGAGGGCAGAAACTTCGCATACATCAGGGCAAATCATTTTGAGTCGCAGGAAAATCAAACAACAACTCTTAGACATGATTAGTACATTCATTGGCGGGAACAGTCTGGGCAGCGGTGATTAGTCACTTTTAAGTGGGGTACACATTCAAACTGATTGGTTTTGGCGCCTGGACGCCTACGTGCCGGGCTACTCAGAGTCCTAAGTTATTAAACAACCAAATGGCCAGTAGGGCATTGTCTTAAGTGCCTCAGGAATTTAACTCAGGCTTTGCAGTTTAGAAGCAGGTTTACAATGCCTTGTCCTTTACATTTTAAATCAGGCTTTGCAGCTTTGAAACTTTACCCTTTCAGTCCTGAGCTGTTTTATTCTTTCACACTCTTCTGCCATGTTATTCTGCCTCACCACAGACCACAGCAACACAGGAAGTGATGTATGAACTGAGACCTCTGAAAATGTGAGCCCAGTAAATCTTAGTTTTTTACATGGTTCTTATCAGGGTCACAGTAGTGAAATAGCCAGCTAAAGTACTCACATCAACATGGTCAACTTAGAGGTGACTGGTGCCTTGAACTTCCTCATTTCCCCCGTATTCTAGGGAGATTCATGAGAGAAATGAAAAAGATCTGGGGAAAAATGAGTGAAGTGGCCTTGAGAATGTCCCTGGGAACCTCATTCACTTTCTTTCAGCTTTGATTTTTTTCACATCCAGGTGGAGGGAATGATTCAATGTTGGCAGGATTTCAAAACAGTCCATGCACATGAGAAAATGATACAGAAAACTAGACTTGCTTCATATTCATACTCAAGGACAACTAGTGAAACTGTGGCACACACCTGTAGTCCCGACCACTCTGGAGGCTGAGGCAGGAGATTCACAAATTCAAGATCATTATAGGAAACATGGCAATATTTTGTCCAAAAAAAAAAGAAGATAATTTCTTCAATATGTACAATACTTCAAGAAAATTCAAGATGGACTCTATATTCTGTTTTCTAATATGCCACAGTCTGGCTGGGCACAAATTAACCGAGCCGCCACAAAGCCTTGTAGGTTCAAATGGCAACTCTTTATTCCCGAACTCCCACCAGCACTCTACACACACTTCTCGGCAACACACTCCCCTCACCAGCCTGAACTCTAATGAAGCCAATTCCCGAGGCAACAGGATCCGCCATAACCCCAGCAGGAGCCGCCCTAATCTCAGAGCATGGTTACCTTTCAACCATTCCCTCTAGCAAAATGCCAAGCATCATTCCCACTAAACTATGGCTCTCAACACTAATATCCCATTTATTTTCTTTTCTTTGCCTTTGGATGTCTTAGAATAAGAGCTTCCCTCTAACTGCCAGTGATGGACCATATTCCAGTCTGATTTCAAGGGATTGAAATCATTGGTTCCTGAATTAGAAGCAGGGTTCAATATTTTCAAAATAACAATATGAATTCTCTTGTTTCTCCACTCAGGGTTTTTGGCAGTATGATGTCCAATGTCATAAAAAGTATGGGAAAATGTGGGGGTGAGTATTTTGGAAACTTCCCTTTGGTAGACTTGTTGGATGAGGCACTCCAGGGCAAGAGGACAATGCCTGTCTAGAGCTATTACTAGGAATTAATTATCATAAATCTTTTAGAGGCTCCTCCTCCTGTGAAGAGTCCCATATTCAACCAGGTGTCAAGGTTCAAAGTCAATAATGTCATACTTTGGACATTTCTCAGTCTCTGATGACCCAAAAACTCTTGGCCTAACCTTCCCTCCAGTGCCCAGCCTCTACCTCCTTTTCCATTTTTCTTCATTAGGAGTCTTTAATACTGCATAGAAGGCATTAAGTCAGACCTTTCTAAAATGTGCATGGCTTTATCTCCTTTCAAGATTGCCACATTGAATAAAAGTGACCTTTACATGAATTTTGGGGGTTATTATGAACATTTGAATAAAAAGATGAGACAGAGATGAACAGATTGGGAAATGATTTGACCTCTGCTTTCTTTTATTTTAACTTTCTCTGCAAGTGTAAAGTCTTAGGGATTTCATTTTTTTTCCATGTCAATTAGGAGTTTTCAATAGAAGTGTACACAGGAATATTTCTGCCTATCTCATTCTACTTACTTTGAAGAATGGATGGCCAATTCATTTTAAACCACTATGTTCCCATGACCTTGTGTACTTCATAATCTGCTAGGGTGACATTAGTTAATTTCAGCAGCCATTTTCTTAATAATG